GGGGGATTTGGCTGTTTACCCCCGGGGACTCGATTTTGTACCCGAGGGACGCGGTTTTGTCTTGGCGGACTCGGCTCTGCACTGCGGAGACTCGGTTTAGACTCGGTTTAGGAGGACTCGGTTGTCTACCTGAGGAGTTCGGCTATGTAACCGAAGTACTGGCTTTCGTCCCGATTGCACTTTGGGACCCCGAGCTGCTGCTCCCCTCCCGCCAGGTTCTGGATTGCTGTCAGCCCTCACAGCTGCGATTCTAGGACCTCTGACTTCTCAGAATGGGCCAGGCTGGTGCTTCCAGACCCTTCCAGCTCACTGTGCCGCGCCAGCAGCTTCCAGATCTTGCACCCCAGGCGCCGGCCGGCGTTCCACACTAACAAAGTCAATTAATTTAACAGGTTTCCAGAGCCAGTCAGACCCCTGTGTGACTTGAGAGTAGAGGAAGGGATCTGAAGGCAGTGGGAAAAAGTGGACCCTTCACACAAGGGGACATGACAGCTTCTGACGTCCTGACTCAGTGTCCTTTTACATAGTTTTTCTTTGTGACACTACAATGTGCTTTCCAAATTAGCAGGCCTTGTTCAGCTGTGCAGCAGTGAGCTGGGCGTCATCCTCACTGCTGTGTTTCTGATGGGCAATAGGCACTGCCCATCAGAAGGGTGCTTTGTCCAGGGCATTGCAGATGGTGGGGACTGAGCCAACACGGGGAGCCCCCACGCCATCCGGTTGTTCCGTCTTGCCTTTTGCTTCCCCGACTACTCTGATCCATCATCCACTTGTGCTCACAGGGTGGCCACGGATCACAACACGGACAACACTTCAGCCATACTCCGAGAGTGGCTGGTGGCTGTGAAGGGTTTGTACCACTCTGTGGAGTGGCGACCAGCGGAGGAGCCCAGGTGAGCCTCCCATCTTCACTGGAGTAGGAAGCCTAGGGAGCTAGGAGCCAGCAGGCTCTCTCCCCACCCTGGGCTTTGCAGGCAGATCTTGATCCTCTCTCTAGCTGACCTTTGTCCCACTGTCCTTCACTCCATTGTCCAGCCTTGGACACAGCCTGTCACACCTCTGGGGCAGAATTCCTTTGTGTCTGGTGGCCACCTGTTGTGTTCCTGCCTCAGGGTGTTGCCTGTGCACACACTCCTCTAACTTTAGGAGCCTCCCTCGCTGTGTAGTCCAGGCTGCTCTGGAATTTGCTATCCACCTGCCTCAGTCTCCTGAGTGCTGGAATCACGGATGCCTACCCCCACGCACTAGCCTGTGGGATTGCATCCAGTGGTCTGCCAGGGCTCTCTTACTCCTTTTGTGCCCAGAGGCACCTTGATGACCCTGGGTCCCCCTGCCATGCAGGGCTCTCCCTGGGCCGCAGCATGCCCGCCATGTCGCACATGCTGGGCTGGTGGTCAGGACCCTGTGCCCTGCACCCTTCTTCCCCCCATACTCCACTTGGAGGCCTTCAGATCTGCTGTGTGCCTTATCTTCTGTGAAGTTGTCTTTGACTGGGTGCTCGCTGCGTGCCCATAGTGCCATGATCCTTACATCACAGTTACTCTCTTAGTTCCTACCCAGATGAAGAGGGCCCCAAACACTGGTCTGACTCCCGCTACGAACACGTCATGAAGTTGCGCCAGGCGGCTCTCAAGTCAGCTCGGGATATGTGGGCTGATTACATCATGGTGAGTTTCTGGGTGAGGGATGCTGGAGATGCAGGAGCCAGGAGTTACCCCATGGGGTTACACAAAAAACTTTGTCTCAATAAATAAATAAATAAATAAATAAAGAGGGGAGGGGGCTGTGGCTAGTTCAGGGGGTACTTGAGGCCTGGGTTCCATCCTAGGCCCCCCAGAAAGTATCCCCTTAGTTGGGCACTGCGTTGTATTTTTAAATAGATGTTTGAAAATAACATTGTTTGTTTATTGACATGTGAGACAGGTCAGCTTACAGGAGTGGTTCTCTCCCACCGCAGGGGTCCTGGGGATTGACCTTTTTTGACTCACTGTGGATCACCAAAGGTCACGAACTAGGGGCATGTACGTGCCAAGAGGTAGTTGGGGCTGAGACTTCCTCTTCCCCAACTTCCCCTGCCTGTGAGGAGGAAGTATCTGGGGCTGGAGGGTTCAATGGATGTGGAGCACTGGCTGCTGAGCTCCCAGGATCAACTCCCAGTAACCTTGGGGCTTGGGGTATTTGGTGCCCTCTTCTGGCCTGTGTGGACACTGCACTCAAATGCGGTCTCCACACACACACACACACACACACACACACACACACTTTTTTTAAAAAAATTTATTTGGTTTTTTTGAGACAGGGTTTCTTTGTGTAGCCCTCGGTGTTCTAGAACTTGCCCTGTAGACCAGGATGGGCTAAAACTCAGAGATCCCCCTGCCTCTGCCTCCTGAGTGCTGGGATTAAAGGTGTACACCACTGCCCCCTGCTAGGTTAATTTATTTTTATTTTGTGTTTATAGGTGTTTTGCCTGCATATCAGTCTGTGCAGCACCTGTGTGCCTGGTGCCTATAGAGATCAGTACAGGGTGTCACCTCCCCCATCTGGAGTTACAGATGGCTGTGAGATGCCACGCAGGTGCTGGGAACTGGACCTGGGTCCTATGTGAGAGCAGCCAGTGCTGTAACTGCCGAGCCAGCTCTTTGGTCCCCAGTGAAATGTGTATGTGTACACATCAGACTGTGTGTCCATGGGTCACTGCCCCCTCTCCTGAGCGGTCAGGGACCTCTCTGTTCAGTGGGTAGATTCAGGCGCGTGGTGGCCACGAGGTTTGGTGTTCAGTCGGTGGACTCAGGCACATGGCGGCCACAAGGTCTGGCGTGGATTCAGGCACGTGGCGGCCACGAGGTCTGGTGTGGATTCAGGCACGTGGCGGCCATGAGGTCTGGCTTGCAGCCCTGAGAGTGGCTGCAGTTGGATTCCAGGGTCTTGTCTGTTCTGTTTGCAGTTTGATTGATTGCTTGCTGAAAGCCGTTGCTGTGTAGCAATGGTGTGCCTGGAACTACAGCCTCCCAGGTGCTGACATACTGGTGTGACACCCCCCCCCCCGCATTACCCTGCGTTGTTTTTCCTGTGCAGTGGCTGAGGTAAACCCGAACCTGAGGTCTCTTGTGTGTGCTGGGCACTCCAGCCCTGTCCTTATTCGTCTACAGGGACCCTGTCTTCATAGGTTCAGCAGAGAAGGGAGGTCAGAGCTTGTGTGAGCTTGGGTGGCCTTGTCTGATCCCCTAGTCCCCAGCCGACACCCCAGGAGGAACTCAGTCTGAATGTGGAAGAAGTGGGGCCCAGCCATGAGAGCATTTGGGTTCACCGTTGGAGGCTAATGGGGAACAATAGAGTCTGTGAGCAGGGCAAGGCTGTGCTCTGATTGATGGTTTTCTGAAGCCCCACCCCTCTTCTGTGGCTGCAGGGTTTTGTTGCTTGGGTTTTTTTTTAAAGATTTATTTATTTATTATATATACAGTGTTCTGCTTGCATGGATCCCTGCAGGCCAGAAGAGAGTACCAGATCTCATTATAGATGGTTGTGAGCCACCATGTAGGTACTGGGAATTGAACTCAGGACCCCTGGAAGAGTCAGTGATCTGAGCCATCTCTCCAGCCCTCTGCTGTTTTGCTTTCTTGATTATGTTTATTTATTTGTGGCTGGTCACATGTTGTCATAACCTTGTGGGGACTGGAGGGCAATTTTGGGGAGTCTGCTGTCTCCTTTCTTCTTGTGAGTCTTGGGGATGAACTCAGATTGTCAGCCATGGCTGGAGGGCCACCGATGATGTCATCCCGGATGCCTGGGATGCGGGAAGCCTGTGGGGAAGGCAACAACTTCAGCTTGGGGAAGACAAAGACTCCAGAAAGAGGAAGGTGGACCCAGCTCCTTGGCCCATTTTACAGAAATGATAGCAGATGCTGAGGGTTGGAGAAGAGAAATAGTCTGGACCTGGAGCCGATTCAGAGTGAGTGAAAAATAAGAAATAAAAAGGACAGGAAAGAACATGCATGCTCCTAGGTGTGGTGGAAGACAGGGTTTATTGTAGATTTTGGGAGAGCGTAGCTAGAGGCAGGAACAGGGACTTCTGGGAGAGTCCAGAACCTGACCAGACAGAGCTGGGCAGAGTGCCGGATATGGCCACTGTACTCTGTAACTGAAGGATGCTGGGAAAACCTGGCAGCCAGGTCTGCTTTGATATGTTCAGTCTGTCCCAGGCTTGAGATGTAACAGGAGGCTACTAGAAGCTCCTGGAACTTTGTGGATCCTTTTGGAGCCCCCCAGAACAGACAGGGTGCCCTTCCCTGCTTTTGGCTTCTGTGGCTTGGGGCTGGCTCTTTTGACGGTCCCCAGGAGGTCACTGTGACTGACTCTAAGCTCCCTATGGAAAGATACTTTTGGTGCTAGGGGACTTTGGAGCTCAGCACTGGAATGTGAGTTTACTTCCGGGTCTGTGGAAGAAAAGGGTCTCCAGGATAGATTTCAGGTTTAGCCAAACAGCGGTGAACCAGCTTCTGGCGAATTGACTGCCCCTCGTTCCACAGCAACCTTTTTTATTGTTACACAGTTTTAACACCTTTTAGCGAGTCAGTTTCTATGAACTGAAACCTCCCATCTGGGCCGGGCTGTAGTGGCGCACAACCTTAATCCCAGCACTTGGCTGGAGAAATGGCTCAACGGTTAAGAGCACTGGCTGTTCTTTCAAAGGACCTGGGTTCAATTCCCACTACCCACATGGCAGTTCACAACTGTCTGTAACTCCAAGATCTGACACCCTCACACAGATATACATGCAGGCCAAACACCAATGCACATAAAAATAAATAAATAAAACTTAAAAAAAATTCCCAGCACTCAGGAGACAGAGGCAGGTGGATCTCCCAATTTGAGGCCAGCCTGGTCTACCGAGCTAGTTCCAGGACAGGGTCCAAAGCTGCAGAGAAACCCTGTCTATGGGAAGGGGGGACCCCTTCTCCCAAGCAGTTCTGAGTCAGGAGACCTCTTGCTTTCCCATGTCCTCTCATAATTACACTTTCAAAGGCTCTGAATTCTTTCTGGAAGAAATCCGAGAAGAGTCCAACAAAAGGGAACTGTCACCAAAGGTGGCACAAAGCCCAGTGCCAACACTCTGTGGGATCTCGCCACACTGGGTGCTTTCATTTTCTTTTAATTTATTTAATTTTATTTTATGTTCATTGGTGTGAGAGCTGTATTCCCTGGAACATGAGTTGCAGACAGATGTGAGCTGCCATGTAGATGTTGGGAATTTTAATGTAACTTTATTATCTATCCCTGACTGGTCTGGAACTCTCTCGACCAAGCTGGACTCATGCCCCTGCGTGCCAGGACAGCCGGCAGCAACCAGGCTTGTTGTTTATGTATTTGTTTATTTACTTGCTTAACTTCTGGTTTCTGAGGCAGGGTTTCTCTGTGTAGCCCTCCCTGGCTGGCTTGGAACTCCCTCTATAGACCAGGCTGGCCTCTGGTGCACCACTACACCTGGTTAAGGCCCTCATTGTCCCTCTCACTACAGAAGCTGTGGGCATTCTGTGTGTGCACGGAGGGGAGGCCACCTGCCTGTCATCAGCTCACTTTGTAGCTGTTTGCTTCAATTGAGCTGCAGTTTAGCTGACACCAAATTAGCCTTCTAACGTTCACAGTTCTGCGGCCGGGAGCCATCCCTTTGTCTAGAACAGCCCACCCCTAGTGCAATCTGCCCTCCATCCCTCCTGGACTGCATTTCCTGTCCTGGAACCACTGCCGTGTGGCCTGTGTCAGGAAACTCTCTCAGCCTCACCCAGTTTATAGCGTGTAGGAGTAGGAGGTCTTTCTTTGGGCCGCCAGCTCCTGAAATGACATGGAAGCTGTTTATAAATTATGAAAGCTCTTATAATTTAACCCATCTATATTAATCTCCATTCTGCCACCTGGCTCGCTGCCTCTCAGTACCCCGCGTCTCTGGCTGGCGAATCTTTTGCCTCTGATTCTGTCCTAGAGCTCCCGTCTGCCTGGAAGTCCCACCTGCCCTCCCTGCCCAGCTGCTGGTCTTTCCGCTCAGCTCTTTACTAAACCAACTAGAAGGAGCCTGAGGTACGGGAGCCAGACAGGTGGATCTTCACACAGTGCACAAAAAGATCAGCCTCACATCAATGAGAATTTGTGTGTCCGTCGTTTGGTGGCCAAGCAATATTCCAAATCGTGGCCCCCACACAGATGCCTCTGCTATGGCATTGTGTGTATCTGACTTTTTGGCTCCTGTGGTGGGTGCCATGATTGAACCCATCTTTGGGTTCATCTCCCAGGATGGAAAGTTAGACTTGTCTTTCTCTAACTTTTGGGCTTGCTGCCAGGCTTCCCTGGCTCACACAAAATTCCAGCATTTCTAGGGATCAGGTGGGACTAGCACTTGACCCTAGCCCCAGGGGCTGCTGCCTCCCTGACTGGGGACACACCATGGAGCATGGTGCTGAGTGGTCCTGAGGTGCAGGTAGCAGTTGCATGGGGGCAATAGGAGGTGGATCTGTGGCTGAACCCTAGAAAAAGGCCAGGTCAGTCCCCGATGCAGGCTGAGTCTAAAATGGGGGGGGGGGTGCTGGAGTTGGGATATTTATAATGAAGTATGGGTCTGCCTCTGGCTTGCAGTGCGCTGTGGTAGAGCCGCACCCCCAGCCCTAATGGCCAGGGTTCTGTTTTTAAATAATAAAAGAAATAATTATTTGTGTTACTCCCTGAATCAGTTTCAGCACAGCTGGAACCCACTGGTCTAGCTCCTGTCTCATTTTCCCAGTTCTGGGATCCCTGCACAGAAGACACCAGTTTCTCCCCAAGCTTGTGTGCAGCCCAGGCACTGTGTGTGTACACCAATCCCGGCCACACCAAGCCGTGCCCAGTTCTCAGCCCACAACTCAGTTCTTTTCATTATTTTTCTTTATTTGTATAAATGAATGTTTTGCCTGCATGTGTGTCTGTGTACCACATATGTGCCTGGTGCTCTGAAGGCCAAAATAGGGCATCAGATCCCCTGGAACTGGAGTTACAGAAGTGTGAGTCACCATGTGGGTGCTGGGAACCAAGCCCGGTCTTCTGGAGGAGCAGCCGGGGTTCTTTACCACTGAGCTCCCTGGGGTGTCCACACCTCCACCTGACAGCTGGTGAACCTTTTGCAGTTTGTGGACAGTGACAACTTGATCACCAACCCTGACACCCTGAGTCTCCTCATTGCTGAGAACAAGACAGTGGTGGCCCCGATGCTGGATTCCCGTGCAGCGTACTCCAACTTCTGGTGTGGGATGACTTCGCAGGTAGGTGGGGACCAGGGCAGACAGGCTGAGCCTTTGCCGGATGCCATCAGGGTAACCCCAGACAAGCATCAGGGCGGGGTCTGCAGTTATCCCCAGCTCCTTTGTTACTGATGCAGGAGCAGAGAGAGACTGGCCCAAATTCACTCGGTGAAAGCTAGGAAGTGGCAGTTCCAGGAGTAGCCTTCAGGCATGACTTGAACCTGGTGCTCCAACAGCCTCGGGCACCTGGGGAGCAACTTTAATGGACCTAGCCATGTCCACTTCAGGACACTTGGGAGGCCTACTGTGGCTGGGTGCATGCCTGAGAGTGTGCACTCAGCTGTAGGTTCAGTGCCTCATGACCATCCTGCTGCCCCTGCAGGGCTACTGCAAGCCATACCCCTGCCTACAGTCCCCCACCCTCTACCCCTGGCAGGGCTACTACAAGCGCACCCCTGCCTACATCCCCATCCGGAAGCGAGACCGCAGAGGCTGCTTCGCTGTTCCCATGGTGCACTCCACCTTTCTCATCGACCTGCGGAAGGCGGCGTCCAGGAGCCTGGCCTTCTATCCGCCGCACCCTGACTACACCTGGTCTTTTGACGACATCATTGTCTTTGCCTTCTCCTGTAAACAGGCAGGTGAGTGAGGCCTGAAGCCCAGTGGTTGTGTGGGTTCCGAGTGAAGCGTGCCGATGGGCTCGCTCACCGCCTTGTTCAGGGAGGTTCCGCTGTGGTCCTGGGACTAATGTCTCTGCAGCATGGTAGTTCACGCCCCTGACCCTGGGACTTGGGAAACTGAGGCAGGAGGGTGGTAAACTAGCGGCACATGTAGCATGAATAGTAAAAACCCAGAGACAGATATTGGGGTTCAACCTGAAAAACAGAGCAGCCAGCCACTGGCTCCTACCTCTACCTCATACTGGAAATGGGCGATCCTACCTACAGCCCTCAGGTTGAGCCTGAGCTGAGACCTGTCTCCTCCTGTTCTATATTCCTCTCTCGTGTTGGGATTAAAGGTGCACCACCACCACCCGCCTGTGTGGCTGGCTAGTCTGGCTGCTTTGCACTGTCCTTCAGGCAAGCTTTATTTATTAAAACACAAATAATATACCACTTGATTTCCCTTTTCTTGTCTAAAATAAAAAAGAAGGCTATAACTAACATAAGAAAAACTATATACAATAAATATAATGACTATATACAATATATAGGCAATAAATACATTGACAATTTGTAATCCATTTACATTTGACAAATTTAGAAAAAATATTCCATATCTATCCTATCTTGGTGAGTCCAAAGTCTTGTACCTAATTTATTTTCTATCATAACTTGGTTTCTGCATCTGCTAAACTATAACTATAACTAATCTTCAACCCCTCAGAGACCCTATAAGGAAATAATATTAACTAAGTAAGCAGAAAGTGTGAGCAAGTGACTGCCAAAAAAAATGTGAGAAATGACAGAACCAGGTGGCTGCCTGGACAGTCCCCCAAAGTTCCTCTGCAGTGCTGGGGCGTCCATCTTAGGCCCACAGGCCTAGCATGTCTGACAGACTTTTCTGTGAAGCAGGATGTTCTGAAGGGCTGTCCCTCCTTGTCTTGACAATATTTCTTTTGTGTCCTGCTTGTCCAGTTAGGACAGCATACTGTCAGCAGCTGAGGGGAGGGCATTTTCTTGCCTAGTGGCTTACTTTTGCCACAAAGTAAGCCCCATGTCTAGTTTCTTCAGTGCCCATTATCTTCTCTGAGTTAGATTGGTGCTGCCAGGAGCAGACATGTCTCATTGCCATTAAAAAAAGAATTATGTTATTGAAACATCTTAACTGCTATATTCTATAGATCTATGAAGTGTTTGAAGATGATCCATTTATTTAAAATCTTTGTTTGACTTTGAAAACATACCTAATGTGACTACAAGTTCTATTATAATGGGTGATTAACTACTAACCTGCATTTCCTTATTATCCTAAACAGTTGGTAATAATAATTTTCAAGGACTAGAAATTTGCATTATTGTTAAATGAATTGTATAGATACAATTCCCTAAACAAGAGTAGAAATGTATGCACAATATGTTCCAACAAAATTAATCTCAAATTTGTATCAATATGCAAAATTTGTACATAATATACAAAAGTCTAATCCAGTGTAAAACATTTAAAACTAGTATTTGCTTTTAAAAAGATTTAGATAATCTACTTCTTTATTTTTTTTGTTGATATATTGAGCTCTACATTTTTCTCTGCTCCCCTCCCCCCTTCAATCCTCCCCCAAGGTCCCCATGCTCCCAATTTACTCAGGAGATCTTGTCTTTTTCTACTTTCTACTTCTCATGTAGATTAGATCTATGTCTCTCTTAGTGTCCTCATTGTTGTCTAGGTTCTCTGGGATTGTGGTTTGTGGGCTGGTTTTCTTTGCTTTATGCTTAAAAACCACCTATGAGTGAGTACATGTGATAATTGTCTTTCTGGGTCTGGGTTACCTCACTCAAAATGGTGTTTTCTAGCTCCATCCTTTTTCCTGCAAAATTCAAGCTGTCATTATTTTTTTCTGCTGTGTAGTACTCCATTGTGTAAATGTACCTCATTTTCCTTATTCATTCTTCGGTTGAGGGGCATTTAGGTTGTTTCCAGGTTCTGTCCCAAGCACTCAAAACTTCTGCATGGCATAAAGACAGGATGTGATCATCATAGAGATAGCCTTTCTACAGCAGCATAGTCTCCTTCTCCAGGCATTTGATCTTGGGAGATTTCCCCACCTCTAGCTTTACTCCATTGTTCAATAATCTTGCCTCTTCTCTGAACCAGGTACTCCATTATAATTGGGACCAGGCTCTAAAACACCTTTAACCAAATCTATCTAGTTATTAGGGATAATTCTGTTACAAACTGACCACGAGTTTAATGCATACCATATGAGACTATTGCTTCCTTTAATTTCCTTAAATCTAACAACGGCACAGGAGTCTCATTAGGTGTAGCAGAGTCGCTACCATTTGGCAATTCCTGTAAGGTCACTGAATATATTAAGGTTTGTTGTCTGAAACCCTTAGCTGTTCCTCTCTAACCTTACAATGCAACGCTGAAATAGGCTCTCCATTAAATTCTTTTGTCTGGGTGTGAATCTCTCTGTCATCTGTCTTATTAGATATTTCTAAGGTCTGCATCTTAGCACTGAGATTAAATAACTTTTTTAGTGATAAAACAAAACTGATAAAGCTGATAGTGTTCACAACAAACACTGCATAAATCCCATCTACATTAGGTAGCCTCTCATTTAATCCTTCCATTTGCAAGCTGTCTAGCATACTATCGTACAGAGACATAAATCCCTCCAATGTAATCCTATTTCATATTTTTTAATATGGGTAAGGACTCTCTCTTTTAACGAATTCCTCCCTTTCAGAATTCCCAATTGTCTCACCAAATATAGCGACGTTGAAGATGTGAGGTTTATTGCTGCTGTGTAGAACAGTAAAAGCCTGACTGAATTCAAGGCAGCAGCCTGAGAAGGGGGTTCAGGGAGCGCCCACTGGGAGAGAAAAAAGAAAAACCTAGCCAGTAGGGCAGTGACTCTGGCCGCAAACCGCTCTTTTTGTGAATCCGTCCTCCAGACATTGGGCGCCAACTGTAGCACAACAAATAAAAGCCCAGAGAAAGATACTGGGGTTCAAGATCAAGATCAGAGAAGCTGAACAACCAGCCACTGGCTCTTACCTCTGTCTCTACCTAAAATGGGTGATCCTGCCTCCACGAATCCTCAGATTCAGACTGAGCTGAGAGCTGCCCCCTCCTGTCTTATATTCCTCTCTAGTGCTGGGGTTAAAGCCATGCACCACCACTATCCGGCCTCTGTGGCTAACTAGTGTGGCTACTGGGATTAAAGGTGTGTGCCACCACTGCCTGATTGGCTAGTCTGGCTGCTTTGCATTGATCTTCAAGCAAACTTTACTTATTAAAACACAAATACTGTACTACTGTGAGTATACACAGTGAGATCCCATACCAAACATCAGAAAAATAGACATGCATAATTATTATTTTCATCTCCCAGTTGTGTGTGTGTGTGTGTGTACATGAGCATGCTTGCAGTGAATTTGTGGAGACCAGAGGTCTCCCCAGTCCGCACTGTATCCAGTTACTTGTGTGTGATCACCACGGCACACTTGGAAGTTGGAGGACCTGCAGGTATTGGTTCTCTCTGTCCACTGTGGGTCCTGGGGATGGAACTCAGATCTTCAGGCACCGTGGTGCACACCTTTAATCCCGGTGCTCAGGAGGCAGAGGCAGGCAGATCTCTGTGTTTGAGGCCAGCCTTTCTCAGGAGCCCTGTGGCGCTGACTGATGAAGGACTCATCTCACTTTTGAACACTCACAAACCAAAATCAGTTTTTACATTTTTGAATAATGACCAAAATCTGAAACGAAGCATAGTGACCTTTTGCTTGTGTCGAGGCCTCACAGTGTAGCCCAGGTTGGTCTGCAGCTCCCCAAGCACTGAGATGATGGACGGGTACCACACTGACTTCTCTCTTGTCCCCATGCTAGAGGTGCAGATGTACGTGTGCAATAAGGAGGTATACGGCTTCCTGCCCGTGCCTCTGCGTGCGCATAGCAGCCTACAGGACGAGGCAGAGAGCTTCATGCATGTGCAGTTGGAGGTCATGGGTGAGTGTCCGCGGGTCGTGGCTCGGCTAGCATGCACCCCAGACCAGGTGGGTGCTGCTGGGTGACAATCCTGTCATGGAGTGTGTGTGACTCCGAAGGCTGAGTCCAGGGTCAAGGGACAGAAAGTTGCAGGCCAGCCTGGGCTATAGTGTGAGATCCCAGCCTAAAAGACCGATCCTGTTTGCAGTGGAGTGAGAAGGGGTGCTATACCCATGTAGCATTTGGGGGACACATTTGGAGTGACAGCAGCCAGCGTGAGCCTCACTGCGATTCTGAGAAGCTTGAGAGTGTGGCTGAGGAGAGCAGGGGCCGCTACTGGGGTAATTCTGCAGTAGCTGTCGAGCGCCTGCTGTATACCAAGCTCTGTGCTGTGCACTGTGAGTGGACAGACCCCACACTCCTCCCAGGATGTTAGAGGTGGAGTTAGAGCAGGGACAGTGTTGAATCCCAGGCCTGAGCAGCCAGAGGCCCAGAGGTTGCCCCTGGGGGTCATAGCTGAGGTCTAAGTTGATTTGGGCAACTTAGGAATGTGGTATAGGTGAAGGTCTTGGGGCAGGAATGGGCCCCTTGGGATCTGGTGCCAACAACTGAGATGGGAGTTTGAAGGGCATGGGGTCCTAGGACCCCAGCAACCCCTGTTTTCTTCCTCTTAGTCAAGCACCCGCCAGTGCAGCTGTCCCGGTTCATCTCAGCACCCAGCAAGACTGCAGACAAGATGGGCTTCGATGAGGTGGGCTGGGCAACCCCCCCCCCAGGGAAGGGAGGTAGCTGACTGACCTGGGGTCACTGAGGCTGTGGCCATAGGTCTTCATGATCAACCTGAAGCGGAGGCGGGACCGGCGAGAACGCATGCTGCGGGCCCTGCATGAGCAAGAGATTGACTGCAAGCTGGTGGAGGCCGTGGATGGCAAGTAGGTCCTGCGCACGCACAACTGTGCGTGCGTGTGTGTGTGTGCGTGTGTGTGCACGCGTGCATGTGTGTGCATACGTGTGTGCGCGCATGTGTGTGTGCGCGTGCGTGCGTGTGTGTGTGTGTGCGCGTGTGTGTGTGTGCGCGCGCGTGCAGTCAAGCTTGTACATATGAGGGGGGTGGAGTCAACTCTGGCAGATTCTCGATGCAGCCAAGAAGGCAGGAAGGCGTCTCATCCTCAGACAGGCTGCCATGCTCTTGAACAAAGCTGGGTGGGGTCTGGGCTTGGACCCAACCGGGTAGGTCCACAGGAGGCCAGAGGTTGATCGGTAGATGGCTGCTTCAGCTGAACCTCTTCCCCATCCTCTTCCCTTCCCCTTCCTCCCCATGCCTTTTTCTGTTTTCCTCACCCTGTTCTCCACCCTTCTCTCCCTGGACCCCTCCAGAGCCATGAACACCAGCCAGGTGGAGGCCCTGGGCATCCAGATGCTGCCTGGCTACCGGGACCCCTACCACGGGCGACCCCTCACCAAGGGAGAGCTAGGCTGCTTCCTCAGCCACTACAACATCTGGAGGGAGGTAGGTGTGAGTAAGGGGCTAGCCCATGGTCCTCGGTGTCCTCACAGCTTAGTCAGCCTCAGAGGCCCAGGGAGGACTGTGGCCTTCATGCTGCCTCCAGCAGCAGGCCCTGTGGCTGCACTTTGGTGTCTGTCCCATGCTGTCTTTACATTGGCCATGGTTCTTCTGAGTGGGGCAGCTACTGCCCTTTCATTGCAGAAAGACGGCCTGGGGAGGGCCTGCAGGTGAGGCTGGGGCTGTGATCCCCAAGTGAGACCTCCTTGCGCCCCAACCTGACTCCGCTCTGTGTCTGTACATGATGACTTTTGGCATTAGTGTCACTGGGCTGTGCGTTAGGAACAATAGGTGATGGTGGCACCACACAAGAACCAAATTCTTAACCTGCAAATTGGAGGCTGGATAGGTGGGGTGTTGACTCCAGATGATGAGGAACAAGAAAAGACACCTGGATGCCCAAAGTAAGGGTTCTTAGATGGGCTGTCCTTCCTTCCTGAAGTTCCTCATGGCGGTCTCCTAGCTCCATTGGATGATGGTGAAGCCTTCTAGACCAGGGGCAACCTAGACCAAGGAGGAAGGGCGAGAGGAGACTGCCTGATGTTGCCGAGAGGAAGGCTTCTTGGTATCCCAAGCAAAACACAGGCAAAGGTCCTAGGGCAGAAGAGCCCAGGCCAGGGGGAGAAGAGAGCCATGTGGGCACACAGCTGGACATGGAAGGCTGGACGAGGATGGGTCTTTGTGATTTGGTGGAGCCCTTTCCTTTAGGTGGTTGACCGGGGACTGAGGAAATCCCTGGTGTTTGAGGACGATCTGCGTTTTGAGATCTTCTTCAAGAGACGCCTGATGAACCTCATGCGGGATGTGGAGCGTGAGGGCTTGGACTGGGACCTCATGTGAGTGGGGCTGGTGGGGGGCAGAGATGGGACGTCAACCTTAGGGATAGAGCAGGTCTGGAGCCTGGAGGACCTGCTGGGTGGACTTGGGCCCAGCCCTGTCCCTGATGTCGGGGTGGTGTTCTCTGGCAGGTGGGGGTGGGGGACGAGTGACAGGTCTCTGATTCTTCACCCCAGATATGTGGGCCGGAAGCGCATGCAGGTGGAGCAGCCTGAAAAGGCCGTGCCCCGTGTGAGGAACCTGGTGGAGGCCGATTACTCCTACTGGACGCTCGCCTACGTGATCTCCCTGCAGGGCGCTCGCAAACTGCTTAGTGCCGAGCCGCTGGCCAGAATGCTGCCTGTGGACGAGTTCCTGCCCGTCATGTTTGATAAGCACCCAGTGTAAGGGGGCTGTGAAGAGTTGCTGGTGGGAAGGCAGACTGCAGTCTGAGTCCTGGGAGATCAGGGCAGGGGGTGGTGGGACAAGGCCTAGTGGGCTTGAAGGAGGGGCTCCACCTCCCCCGTGCCTCCTGTCTCTCCTAGGTCAGACTATAAGATTCACTTCTCTCCCCGCGACCTGCGCGCCTTCTCTGTGGAGCCGCTCCTCGTCTACCCCACACACTACACAGGCGACGACGGCTACGTCAGCGACACCGAGACCTCAGTTGTGTGGAACAACGAGCAGGTGAAGACCGACTGGGACCGAGCCAAGTCCCAGAAGATGCGAGAGCAGCAGGCGTTGAGCCGCGAGGCCAAGAACTCTGATGTGCTGCAATCCCCGCTGGACAGCGCTGCTCGTGACGAACTCTGAGGCAGCTGGCAAAAAGCCAAAGTGACCGCCAGGGCCTCGCCTTCCCGCACTTGCCTGGGACCCCAGGGCCACCCAGGCAGACGGCTTCCATGTCCTCCTGCTCAGCAGTCACTTTCTCACTGGCAGCAATAATGGAGTGCTCACTGTATGCCAGGAACAGGGCTGGGCACTGGGAGGTTGTGTCCGCCGCGAAGGAAGTTTCGTTAGAGCGGTGAACGAGGCGTAGTGCTTCCTGCATCAGGGATTGATGTGAACATCGGGTGGTTATTGATCAGGCCAAGTCAGGTATTAGGGATACATACTTATTTTAAAATCTTTATTGAGGACATTCTGTGTGTTGAGCACCATTCTTAGCCCTAGGAATACTGAAATAAGAAAAGTCGATGTGCCAGGCACCTGCTAACGCCAGGTCTTGGGCAACACTGAGTTGAGTACCTGCTGTGTGTCGCCCATTGGTGCTCTTCCCTTCTGTGGGCTGACGGGCTTACAGTGGGGTGCTGAGCGCAAGGACAGAGCAGACAGAAATGTCTTCGTGTAACAGGCCTTTATTGAGCGTCTACAGCGTGCCAGGCCTTGAGGACTCCCAGCCTGCCTGAGAGGACAGCATCTTCCCCTTGTCCAGAGGGATGACGCTCTCCTTACACTTGACTGCTGGGTTTCAGGGTATTGGTGGCCTTGCCAGCCCCCCTGGAGGGGGTGTCACAGGGACTGGGGCTCCCTTGCCCACCCCTGGCTTCCATAGCTTCTCCCTGCCCTTGTGTCTCAGGTGTGCGCTTGGGGCCTTGAAGTGGCCCAGCTGCATCGGGGTGTTCCTATTTGCCTTGGCAGTGTTTACTTGCAGGGCCAGGGGGTCACTGTGCCTTCAAAGCCAGATCAAATGTCAGCAGGCAGAAGGTCTCGCCTCTAGGGGATGACTGCCTGCTCAGATCTTGGTAACTTGCTCACGGTTGTATTAAATACTCCTGGTTTGGTTTTGGCTGAAGCTTGTGGTCGTGCTGCCCCGAGTTCCTGTCAAGATTTGGGGGGACAGGGTTCTTGAAGGTACATGTTGTGCAGACTACCAAGCACTTAAGGGAATGTGGGTCAGGACATACTGGGGATCTCATGTCCACCCCATAAAGCATCCTGGGAGAGGCTGGTGGATTCTCCAAGATGCTGTGGGGGCCATCACCATCTGTCCCCAAGGAAACTGATGCCATGTTCATGGAAGGAGCCCACCAGAGGGCGTCAGAGCAGATGTTGTGGACCCTGGGGCAGTTCCTGTGACCAAACAGGACTAGAAGAGCTCCAGGCAGAGCCACCTGCTAGGGACCCGCCCTAAAGACTAGGCATCGCTGTTGTCAGCTCTGAGTAGAGATCACTTTAGGCTGTATGGACTGACAGCTAGAGACAGGACAGACGCCCCTGCTAGGACTTCCTGGGTCAGACCACACCAGTTATCAGTGTCCTTGGGCTCTGGCCTGGGGGCATCTCCCTACACTCTGTAAGCTGACACAGACCGTGTGTGACGGTAGACCCTAAACAGACGCTGGCCATGCTCCCGGCCAGGACTGCTGCCACCCTGCCGGAAATACACACAGCCCTGAACCTTGATTTCTTTGAGGTGCTATTGGTATGCTTGCTGGCCGAGTGGACAAGAAAAGTGTCCTCAGTTCAGCCGCAGCCTGGTCTCCTGAAGGTGTTGGTCCCCAACTTTTGTTTTGTTTTTAGTGTGTGCTGTGATACAGTGGGGGGGTCAAAGGCCAGTTTCCCAGTCTCCACCGTGTGGGTCCTCAGGCTTGGCAGCAAGCGCATTGCGCCTTCTTCTGGGCCCACAGAGGTTTTGTCAAAAGAAGCGCAAGTCAGCCAGACCCTGAGGCACTGAGGCACTGTGTGCTTTTTCTTTCTTTTTTTAATGTTAATAAAATATTTTTTTACAGAGACCAAAAAGTCAGAATAGTGCAAAACATCTCAACGCCATGCACTCATGAACACTCCCCGGGTGTTTTGAACACACGTCCTAAGTCATGGATTGACTGAGAAATGAGGGTTTTTGGAAGATGCTGGACTAATGGGGGTGGACCTAAAAAACCCTCCCCGCCAAAAAAAAAAAAAGGAAAGGAAAAAACCAAAACCAAACACCTCTCGGATTCCATATCTGCAGTCACATGCAAAGAAAGGCTAATGGAGGGGTTCCCTGGGCTGCACGGCAGGGATTGGGGTCTGGAACCTTCTGGGGTACAGGGGACCCTCCCTGTCACCTGCACCACCAACAGTGTCAACCCAATTCACTTTTTAAAACAAAAGGCAAAGAGGAGAGGAATTGGGTCCCCAGAGCCAGCTTTGGTCCTGAAAGATGCTGGAGGTGGGCTGGGCCAGCCCGGACACCATGACTCCACCCCCAGCAGGGCTGCCCTTGGGACCCCATAGGGGCCGAGGACCCTTCCAGATTGGGTTGGGGATGGAACCTAGAACAGTGCATGACTGACCGCCCCTCACGGGGAGGGGGGATTCTAGGTTGGGCATAGATGAGCCTGGACCCCACATCTTTCCACTGCTCTTCCTCGCTCCCCTTATCTGCCTCACCCAGCCAGTCCTGCCCCTCCTGTGGGCGGGATGTGGCTCTTTCCAGCCTCATAATCTCCCTGTAGCAGGCCAGGCTAGCCCTTCTCCAATCGGACCTGCATCCCCATGTGTCCTAATGCGAGAGCCCAGGTCTGTACAGGTGGTAACTCAGACCAGCAGCCCTGGAGTAGCTTCCTCTCTGGAAGGGACTGTCCTGAGCTCAGAGCCCACCCCTCTACTGTCTTCATCTATTGTCCTGAGGTTCAGCCTGGTCACCTGCTATGTGGGGGAATCTGTCAGGGTAGGAGAAATTGTAAAGACAGGCATGCACCCCCCACAGTGCAGACCTCACAGCCACTCTCAACACAATTCAAGGCAGCATGACCTTCAATGCTCCTGGGGAAGCTTGGGTTCCCATGATGCCTTAGCCTGGATGAAGTTTAGGAGTTTTAGAGCCAGGTACATACACTCCAGTCTTGTGACACCAGGGCCAAGTCAGAGAAGGGCACGAAGTTGGGGAAGTCAGAATTGTTTTTAAGGAGGGGACTTTTTGTGAAGGGTATTGAAAGATGAATAGGAGGTCTCTGGGTAAACAAAAGAACATTTCAAACAGTCCTAGCCTGGTATTCAGAACTCACTCAACAAACGTGCCCAGGCTGTTCCCTCAACATTCTGGGCCAGCACACACACATACACATTTAGAGGGAAGTGGGGGACGGGGAGACAGGAAGAGAGAGAGAGAGAGAGAGAGAGAGAGAGAGAGAGAGAGAGAGAGAGACTTTGCCATAACTATCTTGGTTCTGTCAGTCACCTCTCCCCCCGCCACACACACACACACTTCACATTCTTACCAGCAATTTAGAAACAGTCTATGGTCGCTCTCTGGCCTCCCCTTTAGCCATCCATCCATGACTGATGTCCTAAACTGAGTCAGGGCTGCTGGTCTTCCCACAGTACATGGGCCATCTGAGCTCCCCTGTCCCTGCATGGAACCTGCATCCAACCCTTCGGTTCTGAATGCCTTGCTGGAATCCAGGAGATATCCGGAGTTCCGAGCCAATCAGAAAAGGGTCATTCATCTGTCATCACAGCACAGAACACTCAAAGTGCACTTCACATTCTCCCTCCCAACCTCCTAGTTTCTGATCTCTTTCTGTTCTGTCCTGCCTGGATTTGGAGAAAGAACAAAGTGAGTGGGGGCGCCTGGCTCCGGGGAAACCCCAAACCCCTCTTCTTGATGGAACTCTAGGTTGTATGTCAGTTCAGAATAAAGTCCCAGGAGGAAGGGCTCGGATAGGGATCTTGTTTGGCAGCCTGAGGGTTTATGGGGGATCCTGGCCCCGAGGGGAGGGGGGCCGGGGAAGAATTGGGGAGGATATTTAGCAGCGATGGGGGCTGGGACATCCGTCGGTGCTCAGCCCACCGTGCGTGGCACGATCAGAGGGTCGCCAGCTGCCAGTGGGCACGCTGTGCTGAGGGCGGGGTCCACATGGAGGGGCGCCCTCAGCCCCAGGTGTGCACCCGAGGGCGCGTGTGCTTTTGAGAGCCCATCCCACACTGTTTTTTGCACAAAAACCAAAGGCTGCGTCCCGGCCTCCAGGCAGCCCTGCCAGTCCATGCCCTGGGCACCGGACCCTCTATGGCTTTTCTAGGGGCAGGAGGCAGGGCCTCCCCAGCCAAGGCCACTGAGGTGGAGGGGTGTGGCCTCTAGAAAGGGCGGGGTCTACGGGGCGGGGCCTCGTTCGCTCCCAAGCCCCACCCCACCCTAACTCGCGCTAGGGTGCAGGCGCGGCACCGCCCTCCTCGGCCGAGCGCGTGTCTGACTTGAGCTTGACGAACTCCTTGGCCACCTCGTCGTTGCTGCGCTGCGACAGGATGCGCAGCACTGTGAGCCCCGTGTCGTCCATGTGGATGCGGCGGCCGAGTGGAAGCCAGCACGCGGCGCTCCCGCGCTGGACCAGTTCCCGCAGCTGCAGCACCGCTAGCCCCACCGTGCGGTCCTCGCGCGCGAAGCAGTAGTCCTTCACACACACCTGCAGCTCGTAGCACTCGGGGCCTGCATCTGCGCTGAGCGAACTGGAGGAAAGGACCGGCTCAGTGGGGGGTGGGGGTAACCAGCGAGCCGGGTCCCCGCGCCACCACTCCCGGGAAGGTCAATCATTGAGCCACTCACGCCACACTGCCTCTCCACGGGAGCCACTAGCGAGCCACTCACACCACACCACCACGCACGTTCGCAGTTAGTGCCCCAGAAGCTGGCACCCTCGCCGGGCCACACCTACTGGGAGCCTGACAACTGGTCCAGCTCTCTAAGGAACCTATTGCTCAGACTGGATCTCCCCAGTGCATCACGTGGGGCGGGCTGCTGCGAGAACCACACTGCCTAGCTGAGCTCCTCCCTCCTGCCCCTCGGCTTTCTGGCTCCTCTCCTTCCTGGCAACGCCCCTTTCCTGACCCTGCTGCACTCTGCCTTTTGCTCAGTTCTCTCCGGCCCCACTTGTCAGCCTCCAGTAACCCCACTACTCTACCACCCCCAGTCACCACCTCTGCAGCATGTGATGGCCAGTCACACAATCCCCAGAGTCCACTGCTTTAAATGACAAAACCAATGGCCGGAGTAGGCTGTGTTCTCAGTCTCCGAACCCTTGTGACCCGCGCTCTTGTGCCCCAAACCCTCTTGTCCACCTTCCCCTCGTCCTTTCTGCCCCAACCCCAAGCCTATGACCTCCCCCAGGGACCTGGGTCTCAGACAGGGACCTTAACCCTAAAATTCCCTCTGCACCA